ATGGCCCTTAGTATGGTCGAAACGTCATAATTAATAGCTTATCAATAAAATGTTGGTGATAATTGGCCTAATTTATGTAATAAATATAAAGTCAATTTCAGCGTCTGCAGTAATTTATTTTCAGTTTTGGAAAGTGCTCCACTAACTTCTTTTGTAGATGTAATATCCATAAATCCAATTTCACTTTAAAAGAGTTTATGGATCCTATTAAAGCAGCTATGAGTTTATTTTTCCCTTGTAACTCTAGGTTTAAAGTGTTCAATTTTTCCATAACATCTATAATAAACCCTACATCTACTACCCAATGAAAGTCCGTCAGTTCAATAAAATTTTTACTCTTAAGATTTAAAAATGGTTTTAATTCTTCAAACAAATCTGGTTAAAACTGCTTTTACTGAGCCATTGTACTTCATTTTGAAGAATGAGATGAGAAACTTCTTCATTTTCAACTAGGGCCTTAAAAAGTCGGTGCTGTAATGGAACTGCTCTAATAAAATTAACTATTTTTGTAACTACCTTCATGACGTGTTCAAAGGCTAAGATTTTACAGCACAAAACTTCTTGGTGTATTATACAGTGATAGTTTATAAATTTAGGAAATCAATTAAATTTTTTGCAAAGAGCGATAATAAAACCATTTACACTACTAACTATTGCTGAAGCTCCATCAGTGATAATAGCCAACAGCTTGAGAAGAGACATATCTATTGAATTTACGTATGTTTTTTAATCTTCTATATATATAAAAATGAATGTATGTCTGTCTGTCTGTCTGTCCGTCTGTTTGTCCTTAGTGTATTACTAAACGATTCAACCAATCGCCATGAAACTTTGGGAAGTTGTTCCGTACACTCCTGGGAAGGTTTCTGTCATAGTACTTCTGTCATACAAATCTCCCAAAAATCCACCTCAATCCTTAAACAGCTCCTAAGATTCCTTGATTCATTGCCCTAAAGTACCTGTTATCTCCTAATTTTGTTCTCTCATTCTCCCTCACTTTGACTCTAGATGCCTAGTGTATGGAGGACTATCTGGTGAGCACAAGATAAGATTAAAAAGATTGTTGAATTATTCCAAAAAAATTATTTATGGTGTTCCTAGACACTCTCAATTAATCATGGTTAGGTTTTATTTTTACTTTTATATCATGGATTAGTTTGTCTTTAGTTTATAATTTAATTTAATTTTCATCAATGCAGCCAGGCAAATGTTGGTTGTATTGTACATATTGTTATTCTTAGAGGAATGATTAAATGTCCCAAAACAATATTTAACTTTTCTTTCTTACTCCTCGAGTTCAAGATGAGGAATGACTTGGTAGCATTACCACCACATCACCATATAAAGTTTTAATTGTTCTTTTGTAGAGTTGAAGATAAAATAGTAAAATAATATATATTCTTAAAGGAAATTCAATGCTCATCAACTTTCTTCCCATGAATTAAATGACAATGTATGATAGAGGAAGGGAGGTCATTAATGTAGATGGAAAAGAGGGTGGGGGATAATGAGGAACCTTGTGGGACGCCTCTGGACAAAGGTAGAAACATTGATTGAGGGTTATTAGGAACTATAACATACTGGGAGCGATCGGTGAGAAAGGATTGGAACCGCTTAAGGGTACTGGATGATAAGGATATATTTTTAAGTTTGGTTAGGAGGATATTATGGTCAACTGAGTCGAATGTCGGGTGTCCCCCAGGGTTCTTTACTTGGACCACTATTGTTCCTCGGGTACATTAATGATGTTGGTGGGTCTCTTAGATTCAGTAAAATCCGTATATTGCGGATGATCTGGGCTTCTTCATTGCCAGAACAAGTTCCAGAGACTATGCAGCGGGTTAATGAAGATATAAATGCACTTCAGCTCTGGACCTTCTCTAATAGACTCCACCTAAATCCCAAGAATTGCTGTTGGATGCTGATAGGGACCCCCAAACTGGTTGTTATAGCTGAGAAGAATGTTTCGTTGCCCTCGTTGACGATCATGGATATTGTGATACCCCGATCTAGAAAAATAAGAGTACATGGAGTGATGATCGGCAGTTCCTTGTGTTGGTGGAATCATGCCAGCCTTGTAGTGAGCCAGATATACGGAGTTCTGCATACCCTTTCCAGGTGGAAGCAATTTTTGTCTTCTGAGGTCAAAAAGAAAATAGTCTCCGTGCTAATCCTTCCTCTGATATGGTATTGCACTCAGCGCCTCTATCCGATATATATTCAGTATAAAAAGGGAATATAACATCACTCTGTACATAAATATACTAGGCTGGTTGAGAACTAAGGAGTATCGGATACTCAATTTGATGTGTCTAGCGAGAAAAATCTTGGGCTCTGGTGAACCTGCAGATCTAAGAAAAGGTTTACTAGAAGTACACAGTGGAAGATTACATGCAGCGTTGCCAGCCTACAGAACAGAAATTTCAAGGAAGTCTTTCCATGCAGTAGCGACAAGAGAGCTCAACTTGCTTCCAGTAGAGGTAAGGTTGGCGCCCAGGTAAGCCAGGGCCCAAAAATCGACCTGATCGCAGGCGAAGGTTTGATTGTAAATTACGAAAGTGTATGTTATTTTAAGTAAAAAAAACCTTGTCTGCCGTTCCAGAGCCGCTGCTTTCAAAAATGGCGGCTGATTTAAAGAATATTAGGCCAGTAATTTGAGGATCGAAACGGGAAATCCATTGCAAAAAATGTGAGAAAAGTTCTTATTTTTTTAAACTTGTATATATGGGTTTAGACATGTAAAAAACAAAATTGCTAATGCGGACCACCAAGGGAAAACTTTTTACAGCCAAAAAAGTCAGATTTTTTCGATATTTTTTGGGTTTTTCACCTATAACTCCTAAACAATGCATCAAAGCGAAAAATGTATTGTTTAACAAATTAAAGAACGTTAAATTTTGCGTCAAACGAGTACATAAACTTTATAATTTAGCTACGCGGTAAGGTATAAAACCACGGTCAACCAACGCTGAAATTTACCAAATTTGTCAAAAACTGAGACAAATTACTATAATTGGCCCTGTAACTTGGAAATGAGTTCCCTAAGAGGAAAAACCCATAGAATCAAAGTTGTAGAGCATCAAATTTTGCGTCCATTGAGTACTGACATTTTTATTTTAGGCCAATTATATATCTTTAGTCGGGATTCGGTAGTTCTTTATAAAATTCGGAATATTTCGGCACATCGTTTACCAAAATCTTTTGCTGTTGAGAGGTGGAAAAGAAGCTTATACTGCATGTAACAGACTTTAAACAAAACTAAGTCATTAGAAAAGACACCCATAATGTTGAAATATTGAAAATCAGATTTACCTTCATTACCAATTTCTAACCATCGATAGATTGCCGATTTTTTTCGCAGCCAGTGACCTACATTAAATTAATTGGTACCCAGTTGACGCAAAATTTGATGCTCTACAACTTTGATTCTATGGGTTCTTCCACTTAGGGAACTCATTTCCAAGTTACAGGACCATTAATAGTAATTTTTCTCAGTTTTTGACAAATTTGGTAAAACTCAGCTTTGGTTGACCGTGGTTTTATACCTTACGGCGTAACAAAATTTTAATGTTTATGTAATCGTTTGACTCAAAATTTAACGTTCTTTAATTTGTTAAACAGTACATTTTTCGTTTTGATGCATTGTTTAGGAGTTATAGGTGAAAAACCCAAAAAATATCTAAAAAGTCTGACTTTTTGGGCTGTAAAAAGTTTTCCCTTGGTGGCCTGCATCAGCAATTTTGTTTTTTACATGTCTAAAACTCATATATACAAGTTAAAAAAATAAAAACTTTTCTCACATTTTTTGCAATGGATTTCCAGTTTCGATCCTCAAATTATTGGCCTAATATATTTTAAATCAGCCGCCATTTTTGAAAGGAGCAGCTCTGGAAGGGCAGACAAGGTTCTTTTTACTCAGGATAACACACACTTTCATAATTTACAATCAAACCTTTGCCTGCGATCAGGTCGATTTTTGGGCCCTGGCTCCAGGGCTAGCAGGGCTTGCCTCAAGCGATTCCTGACTGCAGGCCAGTCGAGTGTGCCATGAAGATTCAATGTTCTTGCAATTACTCTTCTCCCCCCCCCTCACACTTCTAATTTAATTTTATTTATTTATTTAATTTCGTTATATTCTTTCTGGTTATTGATTCTGTAGTATCACCCATAATCTCTCTCATTTTCTTCTCTCTCTCTTTCTTTCTTCTTTTTTCATATTTCATTTTTTATTTTATACTACTAACACTTATACTAACCTTAATATTTAAAAAAAAAATACTAACATTAAAATGAATTATTATAAATAAGGAATATTGTATATTCTATTGAAAAATGTTAATTTAATAATGTTACTTTATTCTTGTCTGTAAGAAAGGCCTCTAGGCCATAAGACAAAAAAATATTAATCAATCAATCTCTCTCTCATTCTCTCTCTTCCCCCTCCCTCCATCCCTCCTTCCCTCTCCCGTCCTCTCTCCCAACTAATGAAAGTCACCGAAGAATTGCTGAGAATATTAGAACTCAGTACATTCATGAGAAAAAATCAGAACTTTATGAATTTAAGCATATAGGCCTAAGTTCTGCCTATAACTAAAACTGGGCTAAATATGAATGGTGGCAAATTTTTTATTACATTTGTAAAAAGCAGGCATGATTACAACGGGAATGTCTTGGATGGTAATGAAAAAGAAAGCTAAGAAGTTAAATAGAAGTATTAGGTAACAACTGAGCTACTGCTTGGTGATGTGTTTTTTATTTCTCATTTCCTCATACTGTGACCCTGTATGAGGGCAGTGTATTTGTTAATTTGAAGATACTTTCTGTTCCAAGATTATTACACCCATCAACCTAAAGACATAGAAGTTACATATTACATTGAGATTCCTTTTAAAATAAGTTGATAATTAATAAAAAATAAAAGTAAAAAATCTCTCTCTTTCATAATGTATATATAATATGTTTTCATTGATAAGTAACAATATTTTTGTTTATGTTTTCAGTGTTCCAGCATTGACAATGCCATTATAGGTATGGTATACCAACCTGTGAATTTCATCTTGATAAATGACCAAATAAGAATGATATTGTTTTAAATGTTTTAGTTAAATGCTAGATTGTTGATGTTTTTACTTTATGTTCAAATTTTATTTGTATTATTTTTATGTTTAATCTGATCTCATAATATTTATTTATTTTTATATGTACATTAATGTAATTTTTCAAGGCTTTTAAAGTATAGTTATTTTAGGAACAGCAGCCATTAGTTTTAGAGAATGAAGGGAAAAAGAACAAAATACTAATATTTTTTGTTATGATTCAATATTTGCTAAGCATTTAGAAAAAAATCAAGTTGAGTATTCATTAATGTATTTTGGTTTGTAATTGATCCTAATATGATATAATTTTATCTTAATTTGCTAAATATTTTAAATCCACAATGTTCCTTTTTGTTCCTTTTTGTTTCTTTTGGTTATTAGAAATGTAAATATATGTACATTATTTAGCTTAAAGAACTGATCGTAATAAAGCTGTTACTGTTCGTCACATGTAATGTGTTTACTAGTATACATATCTTCTTAATATATAATGTTATTACAAATATATTATTTTAATTTTTTTTTCTTGTATATTTTTAAACATGGTATATGCTGTAAACATTTTTAGTTGAATGAATTAGAAACAACAATGAATTTTTCATATAACATTTATGAATACAGTTGAAATAAATATTTCACATTATGAACCCTAATAAGTTCAACAATTTCATATCCTGAATTTTCATCTAAATGGGTGATAAATAGTCAGGACACAGTCATTTTTAAGGTTTTTATTGGTGCCAATATTTCAACCCAAGCATGTGGGTCATCATCAGGGCGTGTTTCGAGCACTGAAGGTGTTAACAAAAAATAATCATTTTTCAACAACTTCAGTGATAATTTTTTTTTTAACAGCCTTGATGATGACCCACATGCTTGGGTGCAAACGTCAATACCAATAAAAACTTAAAAATGACTGCATCCTGACTATTTATCATCCATTTAGAACAGTATACTAACTTCCTTCAATAATTCATCTAAATGGTATACATTTTAGGTGAGTTCATTATTAAAGTGTTAATAAGCCTTTTTTATCAATTAATGTGAAGTTTAAATGTTTACTTCCAAGTCATATTGTATTACAAATTAACGAAGTGCTGTGAAAAGGTATTGCACTACTCATAAATATTTAATGAAATTAATAAAACAAATTTATCTGTTGATTTACTTTTTTCTATTTGTCACTGAGAAATTAATCAGTTCCTATACTCCAAGCTATCCCAAAATTGGTAAATCCTACTCCATAAAGAAAATAAAATAATGACTGCAGAATAAGTTTTAAGTTATGAATTATTCTCACATGAATGTGTTGTGAAGAAATAATTAAGTAATAATAAGAGTTATCCGTAACCCCACTTTCAGGTGATGTATGAAAAGAAACCCATTCCTTTAAAAACTTTTACTCTTCAACTGTTAACATGCAGTGGGTTGGTTTAAATATGTTTAAATTAGGGTTATAATAATTTTATTTAGGGATGAACAATTATTATTGACATTGAGTATTTATGTACTTTTGAATTATTATAATAAAATAAATGAGATATGAAAACATTTGTTTAGTAATGTTCATCAGCTGAAAATAAAATGAAGTTCCACCACCAATTAGGCAATTCTTCCAATAGAGAAAATTATATCTTCTTTGATCTTCTCAGGCTACTTTTATTCCTCTATTGATAATATGAGGTACTTTTCTCTCCACCATCCTTAAAATAAACATAGGTAACAAATAAGAAAATTGTATCCATAGCAAAAACTGATTTATGGATTAAAGTAGTAGTATACTAATTGCAAAATACAGATATAACATGAACAAATGTAACATTATGTATAGTATGGTATATAAGTAATAGTTAACATTTAAAAGATGATAATAGGCACCATGAGCTACTGAAAGTTATTTATAGATCATGGTCCGATGCAATATGTAAAAGCAGGAAATTTAAGTTTTGATGGGATTAATTTTTTTTTAGAAAGATTAATAAATAATAATGAGCTAATGACCTAAAATGATCTTGGCATCCTGTTGGTAATGAAAACTGCGTTGTGATGCATTTGGAAATGAAAGGAAGAAAACCTAATTCCCATGGGAAATTTTTTTTTGTTTTTGTTTAAAAAGGAATACGTTTAATTTCAGAAATAGCTATAATAGGGCAAATAAAAAACCTGAGGTCATGACAGTCAAGTGTGTTAAAGTGAAAACTAACATACTCATATTGAGCGACATCTGTGCGAATCCTGCTTAGATGGGTTGAAATTTATTTAGTGGTGGACCCACGGAATGAATCTTGATTTTCCCATTCTAGTTAAAATAGGTTTGGTTGCACCACGAGTGTTTCAATGTAATTTTTTAAGTATTTTAGTTAATATTTATAGAGTATGTTGGCAACAATAGTAATTAGTTCTAGAGAACAAAGAGGAAAAGAACAAAATACTATTTTTTGTCATGATTCAATATTTGCTAAGAGTTTAGAGAAAATTAAGAGTCATTCTATTTTGTAAGAATAAATTCAGAGATAGGTATATAAAAGAAAACTGAAACATAAATGATACATTTTTTATTAAAAGCAGTGTTTTTTTACATATTGTTTTAATAAATAAAAAGGGTATTTTTGTAATTAAAAAGTAACAATATTCCCCAGGTCTCAGAAAAAAAAAGAAAAACACAAAAGCTTTATAATGTTAGTAAAAATACAATTTTTTTTATCTCCTGTCTCACGATTTTCTTTTATTTTATATGTACATTTCGGCACTTGGCCATCATCAGTATATCTGCTATTCCTATTTACATAATGTATTTTTTCTTGAAAAGCAATTCAAAATTTTTTATCGTCTATTTTCCATGTCGAATAGACAATGGTCAAAGAAAAATTATATTTAATTTACATATAAAATTATCAAAATATTCAAAAACATAAATAATAATTCAAAGGATTCAAAAGCACTAATTCACATTTAAAATGAATTTAATTTTAATTTTTTTAATTTATTGAAAGTGAATTAATAAAAGAAAATCGTGAGACAGGAGATCGAAAAAATTATATTTTTAATAATATAGCTTATTGAAGTCCCATCCATTCTATTCATAAATAAAAAGCTTTATAGATAGATAGATTGAAAATAAACTTTACTCTGGGACGAGGTCCCTTATGAATAACAGTTATGAACAAAAAAATAAAAACTACATCTGGCCAAAATTTACATTAATCAATATAAAGAATATATACAGTATCTTCAGTAAAAGTATATTAAAACAAGTAAAAATAACACTATTTTGAAAAAAAACAAAACATTATTTAAATGAATAAACGTTTGGAATAGGAAAGTTCCAAGGGAATATTGTCTTCTGAAAGAAGGGAATAGTCATTTTAACTGATCGTAAAGGTGGGACACATGAGACTGCCTCGATGTACCGAAGAGAAATCTTGGGCAGGAATTCATGAGTCGCTTCAATCTATCCTCGAGTACCATCGGGATGCCTCCGTACACCACTCAGCAGTAGTCAAAGTGGGGGAAAATAAGAGAGGGTACAAGGAGCTTACGGATGGGTTGTGGGAGTAGGTGGCGCGAGCGATGAAATAGCTTAAGGGTACCTATTGACTTACGGGAGATGAGGGCGATATTTGGTTTCCAGGAGAGGTTTTCGTCTATGGTGATTCCTAGATTTTTAACGGAGGAGCTGTGTGTGATAGGATGATACTTGATGGCTAAAGGAGGAAGGAAAGAGATGAATTTAAGAATAGAACTGGAAGCTATAATAATGGCCTGAGTTTTCATCGCGTTTAGATTTAAATTATTCAGACTTGCTCAGGCACTCATACTATCTAGGTCTGCCTGAATATTGGTGAAAGTGACCAGAGCTCAGAAGGATGAAACGAAAAATAGATTTCTGAGTCATCAGCGTATAAATGATGTGAACAGTGGAAGATGGATTTGGAAATATCATTTATATAGGAATTAAAAAGGAGAGAAGAAATGCTCGAACCCTGGGCCACTCCAGAGGACATTGTAAGGAAGGAAGATAGGGGTTGGTTTGGGATGCTGACTGCTTGAGTTCAGTAGGATAGGAAAGACTGCAACCAGAGGATAGAGCTGTTGGAGAAGGATAGAGATTTTAATTTAGTGTAGTGTATAGAGTGGTCTAAGGAGTCAAAAGCTTTGGACAAGTCGAAAAGTATTAACACAGTTAACATTTTTTCGTCCATTGCGGTATGTAAGTCATTGGTAATTTTTAGTAGGGCGGATTGTGTGGAGAAGCCAGGACGAAAACCAGATTAGAGAGGATGAAGTAGTTTTGAGTTTTCAAGGAATTTGGAGATTTGGGATTGACCTATTCTTTCCAGACGTTTAGAAAGGTTAGAAAGAATGGAGATTGGGCGGTAGTCTTTAGGAGAAGTAGGATTGGGGACTTTGTTAATAGGTCTGACCAATGCTTTTTTTCAAGCAGTAGGAAAAACTGAGTTCGGGGGGGAAAAATTATAGATGAAAAGGAGAACTGGAAGGACTTTGGGAAGGTATAATTTTAACAGTTTCACAGGTATTCTCACAAGTCCGATGGAGTTTGTGTGGGATTTTATTATAGAGGAAATAATGTCGGTTGGTGAAATGTTGGAGAAATAGAAATTATCGTTGTTAAATGAGGGTGATAAGGAAAACTGGTAAGATGAGGGTGAGCTGTTGCTGGTGGTGGAAAATATAAAGTAGGAATTCAATTCATCAGGTGAAACTTGGTAGATCGGTGTGGAAGAGGATTTACAAAGAGCGAGTTTACGAAGGGTTAGCCATATTGATTTAGAATCAGGAGCAGAAGAGAAGATTTCGTGAAAGAAGTTTGATTTCGCTTTCCTGATCGTTGTTTGTGTCAAGTTACGGAGTACCCTATAGACTTGATAGTCATCTGCTAGTCGAGTTCGTCTGAAGCGTCTACGGGCTGCCTCACGTCTTTTGACGTTGCATGTCACGGATTTCTTGACACATCCAAGGAGCAGGTTGGCGGCGAAAGGTTGAGATTTTGATAGGATCATGTATGTCAATAATATGGATAAGCTTAGAAGTGAGCATGTCTACCATATGATCAATAGAGGTGCAGGAATAAATATTGTTCCAGTTTAGGGTTTCAAGGTCAGGTAGGATTTTATCATGGGTGAGGGTGTCAAGATTGCTGAAAGTTATGGTTTTAGGAAGAGACGTAGGAGTTTGGATATCGTACGACGATTGGATGAGATCATGAGAAGAAAGGAAAGAAACTCGTA